CAAATAGCAACTGCAAAATTATAAATAAATACACTCTCGTGGTCTACATTAACTATAGGAAAATTTTTAAATTACCACTCAAAAATGTAACCATTTTCGAACTAACCATCCGTTTAATTTTTTATTTTAAATTACCACCCCTTAAATAAAATAAATGATCAGATTACCAGGCCATTTCAAAAATCCAGTGAATTTTTCGTTTGTGAGCCCCACCAAACGCTTATTTTGACCCTTTTGACTGATTTTTTTCTCTGATTTTTCTCTTTAAAAACGCTCTCCTACATTTTTCTATTTGAAATTTGGTTGAATTTGGTGAAGGAAATGTGAATTAAAGTTTAGAGAACATTTTTAAAGAGAAAAACCGAGGAAAAAATATGTCAAAAGGGTAAAAATAAGTGTTAGGTGGGCCTACAGATGGAAAATCCAATGAAATTTTAAAATAGATGATAATCTGAGCATGTATTTAATTTAAGGGGTGGTAATTTAAATAAAAAATTAAACGGGTGGTTAGTTAAAAAATAATTACATTTTTAGGTGATAATTTAAAAATTAACCTTGTTATTATATGTTTTTGAGAAATAACAGATAATTCGAAACTATTACACCTGCGTAATTGTTCCCGAATCTTCTAATTAAACACTCAAAAATGATAATGATTTGATTATTGAATCTATTTCCAACAAAATACAAATACTCTTATCAAACATGAAACATGTTTTAGGCTTCTCTCAAAAAAGAAACATGTTTTAGGTCGGTAAAGGAATCGAGCACAAGTAGAGGTGGCCAGTGGGCCGGGTTGGACCCAGCCCACCCTAACTCGCACGGCTGGTGGGTCACGTGGGTCCGACCCGGTTTCAATCCGGCACAGCCCGGCACAGCTCGGATTTAATCCGGGTTGTGTCGTGGGTCCAAAATTTTCGACACAACCCATTTCAACCCAGCTCAGTTTAACCCGTTTGATTCGACCCAAATCGCACAACCCGTTTTGACTCATTTAATTCGACACACCTAGCCCGTGAACCCACCTAACCCGACCCACCTGGCACAACCCAGCCCGCACGGCCCACCCGCACGAATGACCCACCCAACCCGCACGAGCCAACCCACCTAACCCGCACGCATGACCCACCCAACCCGCACGCATGACCCACCCAACCCGCACGGCCCGCACAGCCCGCACAATTCGCACGACCCGCACGGCCCGCACGGCCTAACATCCATTTTTAAAAAAAAACGGCTAGTTTTTTGTATCTAACGGCTAGTTTTTTGTATCTAACGGCTAGTTTTTTAAGTGTATGATCATCCATTCTATTTTTCCTATAAATACCAATTCCATTTCACTCAAATTTCCACACAAATTCAAGCTTTCTTTCTCTCTTACTTAAAAATTCTTATTGTTCTCAAATTCTCAAGTGTTATATAGAGTTATATTTTTGTTAAAAAAAATCTCCTTAATATTATTATTAGTATTCTTAAGATTCTAAAAAAAAAAAAGTTCTTCTCCATATTATAATTAGTAATCATACAAAAAAAAAAATGAGCTCAAGAGGAGGAATGGGAAGGAGTCAAAGTGGTGGTCGAAGTGGTAGCCAAAGGAGTGGTGGTGCAAATTTTTCGTATGAAATTAATACGGAAAATTTAAACCAATTTGTCAATAAATATGGAGATTATGGTTTAGGAGATAGGCAAAATATTCAAACGTCTCCACCACAACATTTCTCCCACGAGTCCCACCAATCATCAAGTTCAACTATGCCACCTCCATCGCAACCAACATCTCAACCTTCATCTCAAGGTAATTTCTAATTAAATTTTTATTGTTATGAATATTTAAAAAAACTATTATTAATGATTATAAAGTTAGTTTAGTTTCCAATTTTCTATGATTTACAATTAGTTAATTACCATGAAAAATGCGTTTAAATAAGTATAATTAAAATATTTAAAATTTAAAAGCTTATTTTCATGAATAGCATTTAAAAATTAATTTTAATAATTTGATTTATGAAAGGTGGTGGCGGTGAAAGTAGAGGTCGAGCACATTTTTCTTGGGTGTGGAAACATTTTGAACGAGTTGAGGTCACACCCCCGGGATGGCAACCTGGTCAACCAAAGAGGTTCACGTGTACATGCCTAGTTTGCAAGGCGCTAGGTGCAAATGTCAAGTCATATAATTGGAAAACGGGAGATGGAACCGGAACCTTGAGTCGGCATTTGCAAAATAAACACGACTTGTTCGAAAATGGCCCCCGTCCTTCGGGGGGTGGCGTCCAAACACAATTGGGTGGATACATGAACCAACCCGGCGGAGGTACACCTTTCATTTATAATAAAGATAGAATGATTGATGAAATGAGTACTTTAGTTATTGCTAATGAATACCCTTTTAGTTACGGTGAAAATGCAAACGTTGAGCATTTTAATAAAGTTGCATTACAACCTGCATTTACTCGTGTCCCCCGAAATACCCTAAGACGTTATACACAAACTTCTTATTATAAGTATAGGAGTGGTTTGATTGAATTATTTCGTACTTTTGATGGTCGTGTTAGTTTTACAAGTGATACATGGACTTCTAGTTTTGGCGAACCTTTTCTTTGCATTACTGCTCATTGGGTGGATGATGATTGGTTTATTCAAAAACGTATACTATGTTTTCAAGCTATGGAAGAAAGGCATACCGGTTTTAACATCAAAGTTCGTATTTTGGATTGTTTAAAAGAATTTCACTTGAATAATAAAGTTTTTTCTTTGTCTCTTGATAATGCAACTGCAAACACAAAGTGTATTGACTATTTGAAAAATGACTCCGAGTTGAATTTGTTGTTGGGTGGTAGTCTCTTGCATGTTAGATGTTGTGCTCATATTTTGAATTTGTCTGTTCAAGAGGGTCTCGCTGAGTTGCAACCATTGCTAAACCCAATTAGAACAGTTATAAAATGGATTAGGATTACTCAGTCAGTTAGAAGAAAGTACATAGCTATGTGTAAAGAGAGAGGTCTTAAGAAAAGACAATGGTCTATTGATACCCCTACCCGTTGGAATTCTACTTTCAAGTTGTTGAGTGATGCTATAAAGTATCGTGATATTTTGACCCAACTTTACAATGAGACTCGTGTTGATCCTACTGAGTTAATAACCGAAAGTCATTGGACTAATGCTTCTTTTGTTCGTGATATTTTAAATGCTTTTGATAGTGCAACTCATATTTTCTCTTATATTTATGAGCCTAACGTTCATTTAGTCATAATTGAGTGTGTTAAAGTTGTTCACACCATCGAAGAGCATATGAAGATTGATGGACTTCGTCCCGTTCTTGATAGCATGAAACGTAAGTGGCATACTTATTTTAGTGAATTTCCAATCATTTATGGAATTGCTGCTATTCTTGACCCCGGTGTCAAAGCTGAAGGTTTGGAAAATCTTTTAGAATTTTATTATACAAGTTTAAGTATCGATTATGATGTTAGTGAATATATTAACAAATGCAAATCTGTTTTGGGAGACCTTTATGATCATTATGCATCTATTTATGGTTTTGATTTGGCAACACCAACTACTACTAGCACTTCCGATTCTAGATTTGGTTTTCTTGATAAAGTTATGAAAAAAAAACACAAAGCATCTACATCATTCTCATCATCATCTTCTTCAACACTTGCTATTAATGATTATTTGTCATATCAACATGAGACCAACAACAACTTTCAAATTATAAAATGGTGGCAAGAACATAAAAAAAGTTTTCCTATATTGGCGAGAATTGCAAAAGATATACTTGCAGTTCCCGCTTCATCTGTTGCTTCCGAGTCTGCTTTTAGTGCAGGTAGAAGAGTGTTAGATGAAAAAAGATCTCGCTTAACTCCGGAAAGCATTCAAATTTGTGTTTGTAAGAAAGATTGGGATCAAGCTGAAAGAAGAACTCAAGGTTTAAAGGAAGACGAAGACGATGAAGATGATCCTGTGATGATATTGGAGTCGTCAACGGATGATGCAGCTTCCGGGGATGATGATGCAACAAACATGGGTGGCTAGAAAAGTCTAAATCAGGTACGCTAAGAACTACGTGGGCTTTGATTCTTTCGGGATACGTAGGCAACTTATTTTTCGAAAATTACAATTTAATTGCAAAATTAAATTTTAGTTTTCTAAAGATAGGTCCAAGCCCCCCCCCCCCAAATTTCAAAAGAAGTACAATATAAGAACTACGCTGGCTTTGATTCCTTATTTTATAATATAAGGATACGTAGGCATCTTAATTAAGAGCAAGCCATCAAATTGTTAATTTTGTAAAAATTAAAACACCACACAACCCACCCGACCCTAACCCACGAACCCACCCGACCCTAACCCACAAACCCACCCGACCCTAACCCACCTAACCCACAAACCCACCCGACCCTAACCCACTAACCCACCCGACCCTAACCCACCTAACCCACAAACCCACCCGACCCTAACCCACTAACCCACCCTTCGACCCACCCTAACTCACTAACCCACCTTGACCCGTCTAACCCACGAACCTAGCTCGACCCACCCATGACCCGTCTAACCCACAAACCCAGCTCGACCCACCCACGATCCGTCTAACCCACAAACCCAGCTCGACCCACCCACGACTCGTCTAACCCACGAACCTAACCCTGGTGTGTCCAACTTCTCCGACCCAACCCACGACCCGGCCCACCCTACCCTACGTGTGTCGTGCCGTGTATCATGAAACCCCAACCCGCGACCCACCTAACCCTAACCCAGCTCGCACGACTCGCACGGTGGACACCTCTAAGCACAAGACAGAAGCATCCAAAATCAACTAGCTGGATGGTTAACATAATGAGAGTGGTGGACTCGTGGTGTTATAACAGTGGATAAGGGTTGAGTGGTTAATAGTCTTAATACTGTTACAAAAATATCAGGTTGGTAGGTCCTTGATAAGGTTTTAATGGTCATTTACTATATCCATGTCGGCAATCATTTAAATATTATAAATTTTCAGATCAAAATAATGGGCCGTAGCTCCACAATAAGCATCATAAATACTACACCTTAATTCATATTTATATTGAAAGCATACTTTTTTCTAAAATTGTGTCTTCTTTTTCTTTATATCAAAAATTTTAAAAATGGCAATTGGAAACAAGAAAAATCTTTTGGCCATCTTTGCCATCCTTGCATTATTAGGTAATTAAAATCTTAGTTTTTTTCTTTAATTATCATTATACCACCTAAAGATTAAAAATTACTTCGTATGTTATTATATTTTTGCATTAAATCTTCAACTATGACTAAACCAGTTCTAATTATAATTTGATAGAGACATGTTTACTACTGGAGACAAGTTTTTTAAAGCAAATCAAAGTCGGTCAAAGTTGTAATTTAATAATAGCATATAAATGCTAAATTAGTTTACTTTTAAAGGAAAGTCAGGAATCACCATTTTCTATTTTTATGTAATTCGACATTATTTCTTTTGGTCATTTAATTAGTAGATTAATTGTAATTCATATTTTGATTTTTGTAGTGCAAGTAATATCCGCTGAAAGGACTTTTGAGGGAAAACTACAATGTAGAGTTATCGGAGAAGAGTGTGGACTGGTACATCATTGTTGCAATGGTGGAAAATGTTCTGATAAAGGAACATGCATATATGGTAAGTTATATTATCCTACATATTTTTGCATTTAAAATATACGTTAATTTCTAATCCAAAAAATTAATCATATTATTAATATGATCATATATTCATATCATATGTATTGTTACTATAACGTTTCATTTGTTTAATTGTTTCCAAGTAGTATTTTGCATTGTATAAGGAATAAATCGAAAGTTGTAAAATTAGTGAAGAACCCCCTTAAACAGAACATATACTTTGTATTCCCTCCGTCTTTTTTTTTTTTTTTTTTTTTTTTGACAGCTGAATATGTTATTGAATTAAACAGAACATATACTTTGTATTCCCTCCGTCTCTTTATTAGAGACCCCTTTCTAACATTTGTTACTCACATAATAAAAAGAAAGTGGACGACAAGAAAGGGGATAGTAATAAAGAGACGGAGGGAGTATATGTTATTGAATTACACAATATTTAAGCTAATTAATTATGTTTCATTAAAATTGTTGACAGATCCTAGCAGTAGTTGCAAGGGTGTAGGAGAAAGTTGTGGGCTGTTCGATGACTCTTGCTGTGATACATTAGTGTGTTCATCCACTTTTTCTCAAGGCAAATGTGAGCTGCCAGAAGACAAGATGCAGGAAATTCCCCACATTGTTATGGGCCGTTTGTTCAACAACATTTGAGCATATTATGTTTAATTTGTTGCTTTAATTTTCAAGCATGGCTTGGAAATTAATTACATGCATGTTTTCTTCATTATGTTAAAATAGTGTATAATTGGTCTTTGATCCAAGTTTTGTTCCTATTATAATAATAAAAAAAGGTTACTTCATGTTATTATCTTGATACCATTTCTCACAAGACTAGTCAATCCATTTACATAGGTTAACACTTTTTTGTCTTTTTATTTTAAGTATGTTAGACCTTAATAAATCGACACTTCCTACAAGACTTGTTAATCCACTTACAGAGGTTAATAACCCTAGAGTGAAAGGTAAGAAACCCCCCACTTTTGTAATATAGTAGATGACGTGGCTTGAATTTGAGAACACAAAGTCATAGGGCTGAGCAAAATTATCCGAAAAACTGAAAACCCGAAAATCCGAACCGTAACCGAACCGAAAATTAGGGTACCCGTTCCGATAACCATAACGGTTCGGGTACCCGATTCGATAATTTGTTATCGGGTACGGTTATCGGGTATCATTTTAAAATTAACGGTTACCCGATCCGTTCCGATAAGCAATTTTTTATTTTTTTTTCGTACTTAAATCTATTTATTCAAAATCTAAACGATTATTTTACTTCGTAATCACTTTATAATTTAAATGATTAGTAATGATTAGTAATTTGGTCATGATCATGTGGTGTTATTGCTAATTAGTGTTGAATGATATCATAATAACTATATTATAAAGTCTAAATTTTTATTATTAGATATCATATTGGGTACCCGATAACCGAACCGAAAATCCGGGTACCCGAAATTCGGGTACCCGAACTTATTGGTTCGGGTAATGGATATCATTTTTAGTGTTATTGATTATCGGGTACCCGAACCGATAGTGTTAACGGTACGGGTACCCGACCCATGCTCACCCCTACAAAGTCACATACACTACATATAAGAGTTCTCCACCAAATATGACTAGTTTCATACTAAATTTTTAATAACTATCCATATGACTATGTTTATCTTAGGTACAAAATACAAATATTAATCAAAGCAATACATTTTATAAATAGTGCAAAAGTAAAAAAAATAAATAAAAATGAGATACTCGAGAAATAGTGAGATTGAGGGATAGAGGTGTCAATTCAGATATCCGAATCGGGTTCGGTAAAGTCCAGTCATATCTATTATCTATTTAAGTCTAAATACGAATCGGATATTTTTCGGGTCGATTTTGAGTTGGGTCAGGTGTGATTTTGACACCTCCACAAGCGAGTATAACGTTATAGGGGTTGGCCCAAAAAGAAAATTAAAAGGCCCATATTTCTGTTTAGCATTCATTCTTCCGTGAAAACCACTCCACTACTTCATCTTCATCTCCTTCTCCTTCTCCTTCGGCGCTTTGTAATTTCAAACCCAAAAATGAAAAACCTTGAAAACTCCAACAATGGCAGCAGTAGCAGAAGCACCAGGTTGAAGAACAACAACAATGGCGACGATCGACTCAGCTCACTCCCCGACGCCATCCTCTCTACTATTCTCTCTCTCCTCCCAATCAATTCCGCCGCCGCCACCTCCGTCTTATCCCGCCGATGGCGCCACCTCTGAACCCAAATCACTGACCTTCAATTCTATTCGGAGCCCTCCTCCGTTGTCGACTGCTTCTTGGGGCAGCTCACTTCTCCGAAACTCACAACTTTCAGGGTTAAAACCAAATTAGTTGCATACAACTGGGAATCAATCTTTGCTCATCTTTGTCGTCGAAAAGTGGAAGAAATTAAGGTTTGTGTTGGTGGTGTTGTAGATATTCCTGCACCTTTATATGTACCTGCTTCTCTATTTTATTGCCAATCTTTGGTGAAATTGGAGTTATTTTGCATTGAACTTGATTGTTCATTTACAGCAAATGATGATGTTAATCTTCCTAATTTGAAGAAGCTTGGATTGTGTCTTCAGGTTGAGTCCCAAGATTTGATGAAAACCCTGTTTAGGTCTTGCCCAATGTTGGAAGATTTATACTACCTCCGTTACAGGTTATGTGCAACGATTTGACATAAAGTGGAGAGGGAAAATGTCTAATCGTTGCACATAACCTGTAATGGAGGTAGTATTTGTTGTTTGATTTTTATGGGGATGATCATTTTGTTGATATTGCTGCTCCCTATTTGATAACCTTGTTTATAGAAATAATGTCTGAAAGGGAAATATCACTTGATAAAGTGATGATAAATGCCCCCAAATTAGAGAACCTTACTATAATTGGATCATATGGGTTTTATTGTTTCGTTGAAAACCCTACTATGTTAGTCAAAGCATCCATTGATTTGTTTTTTGGAACAGATAATAACAATATGGGTATGCAGGGAGAAGCATGTTGTAACCAGATATCGAAGTCTATCAAAGGGATGTCTAGTGTTAGCCACCTTAAGCTAAATAGTTTTATCAATCTATTTACTTACCTTAATTCTGTAGGTAACCTTGTTATGGGGTTATGCCAACATTTCATAACTTAGTCTACTTGGATGCTAACCTTGCTAATCTTAGTGGCTGGAAGGATTTGCTACTTTCTTTACAATATTTTCCCAACTTAAAGCATCTTGATGTGAGTAAAATAGGGTTTGAATCAGTGGAGCAAATGGATTGGTGTGCACCTGATTTTGTTCCGGAATGTTTACTAAGTAAGCTTAAGATAATAAAGCTTGAAGGGCTTGAAGGAAAGGACAAGGAGGTTAAGTTGCTAGAGTTTATTCTAAATAATGCAATTGTTTTGGAAGAGCTTCACGTACACTGTAATCACTACCATTCACTTAAAGAATCTCGACTATGGAATGAATACAAATTTTGTGAAGCCTTGTTCAAGCTTTCAAAGAGCTCCTCAACTTGCAACGTTCTGTTTGAAGGTAACTATATCAATGCATCAAGAAATGACTTCAAGAATGGGGTACTTGATTGTCAAGTTCGCTACGTTGAATCAAGTTGTGCACTGAATTCTTCTGGTGCCAAAGACCGATAGTGAAGCATCTGGGTAGCAGGTATTGATAATCATTATCTTTGGATGTTGTGTGTGTGTGTGTGTGTGTGTGTGTGTGTGTTGTATTTCATCATATAAAAACCTTGTTATGTATTAGTGACTATTACATGTTAAATTGTTCCATTTGTAAATATGGTTTTTGCTTTTGGTTTTGGTGTATCCATCATCTAATTGAATCTGGTGACCTGAAATGTGATTGCAGAAAAGACACTTTGGGAATTCATGAATCATAATTGACTAATTGTACAAATGACATTCTGGAATTCAAGAATCATGATTGTAGAAATAACATTTTTAGACTTTGTAGTAATAAATGATCTGTTTCAGGGAGGATTTTTGTTTTCTAGTCTTCAACTCTTTTACTACTATTTGAAACAAGAAATTGGTGTTGATTAATGACTTTGTAGAAAGCCTATATATGGAGTATAATTCTTGAAGAGAAGAGCTTCTATATGACTGATTTTATGGCATATGTTGGCTTAAACACTAGTGTAACCAACATTTTATGTGTCTTATCAGTGAGACAAGAAAATTTTTCACCTTTTTTTTTTTTTATTTAATTTTTAAATGAAGCTAAGGTCTTTGTTGGGCAAATTGGAATAAAGGGCCTATGTAAATGAGAGGCAAAAGAAAATTGGACATGGGACTAAGGGAGGACGCATACTTTTGATGGATATGAAGTTGGTTTATGTATTTTTTGGCTGTTTGCTTCAAGTTATTTGATGAAATCACATAATTGGCAAGGTGGGAGAGATTAATTGGAGAGAGATCAAGGGTGATAGCTCTGCTGATGGTGTTGGGTGAGGATATAGGAGATAGTCGGGTGAACCGGTGAAAGAAAATAGTCGGGAGAATAGGTGGCTCATAGAAGATAATTTTTTTTAATTTTTGTTATTATGTGAATTCAGGCTCCGGTCTCCTCACCTATTTTTAATTTATTTTAGGCGTTCAATTATGATCGATAAGGGCTATTAATTGAAGAAGGCGGGGAGGGGCTCTTCATGTAACTTGCAGAACTCAGAATATGACTTAAGAATTTTTTTTATTTATTGGAAGCTTGTGGATTTCCCTCTTTTCAAAGTATAAAAGCAATATGTAACTGATTTCATTGATTTAATGGCGATTGGTAAGTGGAAGCTGTCCTTGTTTGGGGGGAATTATTAACTAAAACAGCTTTTAACTGAAAGAGGAAAGTTCCTATTTCTTTTTAGTAAGCTAAAGAATACCTCTGTTGGTGGGAAGTGTTTAAAAGTATACTGATATGAATATTAGTCTTATGTAGTAAAGAAGAAAGTGTTTGATAGATATGAAGGAAAAGAATCTGTCTACAGGCGCTATCCCAGCTGCATTTGCCTGAATTGTGAGCTTCATGCTCCTCACTGACGGTTTGATGCACATGTTTTACAAAGTTTGAGCTGCAGGTAAAACGAGTGTTAATGCTTGTAGGTTGGTCTCAAGAGGGTTTGTTGAAATTTCAATTTCTTGTAATTAATACAACTTTGACTCATGAGGATGGAATTGGTCAGTGATAAAATGGTGGTAGGATATGACATCTTAGGCTTGCTCCTCATGGATAGTCTTTTCTTGAACACCTTGTACATTTGCATCTCTCATCAGATTAAAAATAAGTAAACATTTTGATGTATATATTTTCTGGATGAAGCTAATTGAGCCTGTGTTAAATTTTAATTAAACTTGCTCATTGATGGTTAATTTGGAACAGATAGTTAGGATTCCACTTTTCTGATCTGCTAACGGGATTAGGGGAGGAGGTGTGAGGCAGAAGAAAGAATATCATCCTAACAAAGGGTATTGGAAGGGGAGAGTAGTGACTAGAGAATAGCTTCTGGTACTTATATATCTGAAGATTATGTTATAAGCTAAAGCCCGTATCAGTACCTAACTCTTTTTTTTTTTGAAACACAGTACCTAACTCATTTGAAGTCAAAGAAAAAGGTTTTTTTTTTTTTTTTTTTTTTTTTTTTTTTTTTTTTTTTTTTTAAAATAATAATAATAATAATTCTAAGACAAAGGCAAAGGATCAAAGTGATAATAACCTGTTTGCTACTTCTCTTTATGCAATTATGCCTGCTATAGCTATACCTTAAATTACCAGAAATATTTGCTATTTATGGCACAGTCAATGTTTTTTTTTTTTCAGAATCCACTGAAATGTATATTCCCTGAGTCAATATTTCAATTTTACTCTGATCCCAGTTGAAAAATATAAATTTGAATGTTTGGTTTGACATTTGCTGCTGCTTGTATAATAGAGATTTAATTTTCATAAACAAGTATGCTAGAGAAATACCAATTAAAAGAGGAAAAGTCAAGGCAGAAAACAGAGTTTAACAAAAATAAAGGAAAAAATAATACAGGTATGCAGAAAATTACTAACCTTAGGCAAACCAAGAAAACAGAGAAGAAATAAATTAGAAAGAAATCAGTTGTTATCAGGGCAAGGAGAGGGGTCATGATCTGGAGTTGGGTGATCAAAGATGTTTTTCGAGGTTTGCCATATTAGGGGAGAGGGGTAACAGTGAGTTAAGTTATAAAAAAGTTGTTAGTAGCTTGAAGGAGAACTTAGTTTGTTTTTTAGGGAAAAGCCGAAAAGCTCTTTAATAAATCGAGTTAATTAGAGAGAGATAATCATGTTGAGTATTTTGATGAGTGATTAGTTGTAGTTTTGGGAGAGTGCCCTTCCCCTTGAAAGATTGGCAAGGCTGTAATTGGTGATTACATTGATTAGCATTAATGCATATATATCTCTGATTGTTCTTCCTGTAATTTTCTTCTTCCTCCCTTCGTTCCTGTCCTTAATTTCGATGTTTGGTCACGAGCTGACTGATAGCATTTTGATATTCCCCAGCAGGGCAAAAGAATATTGAGAGTGAATAGGGTAGCAAATAGCATCTGTTTGTTTCAGAAATGCTCCCAGCTGTCTGATGTCAGGATCCAAGGCGGATTTAATTAAGTTGCCTTTTTGTAATGCTGCTTACTGATTAGATTTACCTGGTTTAGAAGCTTCAAACTGTGAGGAGCTAAATTTGATGTTTGGTTCAGGTTTTGTTTGTGAGTGCATGTTTTGATACATGTTATCCTTGTTTCATGCTTGTTGCTGCTATACCTTATTTTGCTAGTAAATTTTGCTATTGTTTCTGCACTTTCTATGAACTGGTTAGTGTCCTCTAAGGTTTGCACCTCCTGAATCAATTTTTCCATATACTCTAATTCTACTTGAAGGAACACAGTAGATATTTAATTGAAGGAACACATTACAGATATGATTGCTTGAATCCTAATTGAAGGAACACGTACAGATTTGATTGCTTTAATTATAGTATCAGTAGCTGATATTCACTGAATCACTGCTGCTTGTTCTTTACTGATCACAAACAAATATGCTAGGGAATCTAATCTATACTTTGCGACTTCATTTAACAAAATTTATAAAATATGGTTTTATTTAGATTTGAACCCTCAACCTCGAACAAATAAATGCCACACTTACCATTTCAACCAACTTTTATTAGTGTTTTAAATTTCACATATTTAATATTATATATTCCTTTTAAATTAGTGGTTATTTAATTTATTTATTTTTCACAAGATTAAAAAATAAATACATATGAAGTAAAAAAAAAAAAACGTAACATCCGAGACTACACCCAAATCACACACTAGCTTTACAACAGTTGAACATAATTATCAAGTACAAACTAGTAATTCGGGGCATCGTCCGGGACACACACTAGTTAACTAATTAAAAGAGGATTATAAAAGTCAAGAGAAAGGTGAATTGCTGAAAAAAATTATGATGAATTCATCTAGAGGGGATGGTTGGCATTGATGAAATAATATCGAAGCAGAGAGATTAAAAGAGGGTACATATTAGCTTCTGGTTTGGATTGCTTTCAATACTTCGTACTCTCGTAATTAAGGCATTCTTGTCACAGTCCGTTCCCTTATATGAACAGACCCACAAGGAAAGGCTTTAATATTACAACCTGCATTTTTTGCCATTTTGGTTGTGCATTCGACCAAATATAGCCAGAGGATATTATTGAGGGGTTTGCAACACCTAATGCCTAGGCTTCCTTGGTCTATATATGATTTCTAGCTATCTTGTTTCAGCCTAATACTTATTACACTTTGTGCACTCATTTCGTACAGTCCACATGACTGTTTAATGTGTACAGCTGAGAGCTGATGAAGGAGATCAGAACTATTCTATTAAGTGTATAATATATACAATATCCCACGTCATAAAATCAGTAGCATGTACCAACGAACCTATAAACATGAATTAGCCAATTCCGAATATAGATCATGACATTTGAGTCATATACACATCATAATAACCATGTCATAAAGGATGAATAAATAGCAAGGTTTAAGGTCGTTGACACCATCAAGCACTTTTGACAAGTGATTCTAAGCATAAAAAAAAAACTACTGCATACATCAAAAGAGAATGAAATTAGATAAAACTCGGTAGTAATCTAAAGTTTACGAAAATAATATCTGATTCTTTCAGGTGTAAGGGTAATTCCGTTTTCCCAATCATCACTTGATGGCCCTGTTTGGTTTGATATAAAAGGTTTTCATGGAAAATGAATTTTCCATTTTTTCCCATTTTCCTTTGTTTGGTTTGTTAAGGAGTGGAAAACAATTTTTCAAGGGTGGAAAATTCCAACCTTAATGGAAAACATTTTCCTTCCAAAAACAAGGGAAGCCACATTTTCCTCTCTCCTCCTTACCTCTTTTTTTTTTACTTTCCTCTCATTCATCCTTACATTTCCACTCTTATTTTTTATTTTTCTTGGACTTTTCTTGTATGCAACCAAACAAAGGAAAACTAATTTGCAATTGTGTTTTTCCTTGAAAATATGTTTTCCATGAAAACTAATTTTCCATTGAAAATATTTTACATTAAACCAAATGGGGCCGATATGTTAAGCCTACATAAACTAAACACAATC